CTTCCATTCCTACCGAGGCTCCAACGGCTATTCATGACCGAGGAATCCGCAAAACAGATGACATGGCACAAAAATGGCACACGATACAATCCCAAGAAGATGGTACATCCATCTGATGCTGATGCATGGAAGTACTTCAATTCGCGGCATCCTCTCAAAGCAGAGGAGGCTCGTAATATACGTGTTGCGCTGGCAACAGATGGGTTCAATCCATATGGCATGATGGATGCACCATACACATGTTGGCCTGTGTTCGTCATCCCCCTGAATCTCCCCCCCCCCGGCATCTCCTTTCAACAGCATACCGTGTTCCTGTCGTTGATAATCCCTGGACACCCGGGGAGTAATATGGATGTCTTCATGGAGCCTGTGATAGATGAGTTGATCGATGCTTGGGTCAAAGGGGTGTGGACATACGACCGAGCTACGAAGACTAGCTTCAAAATGCACGTCTAGTACCACTACTCCCTGCACGACTTCCTGGCGTACGGGTTAATGTGCGCCTGGTGTGTTCAGGGGAAGTTCCCATGCCCAATATGCAAGGAAGCTGTGAGGTTCATATGGTTGAAGAAGGGTGGCAAGTATTCGTCGTTTGACAAACATCGTCAACTCCTCCCTCTTGACCATCCATTCAGAGAAGACGTCAAGAGCTTTATGAAAGGTGTCAAAGTGACAGACCCTAGACCGCACTTGAGGACTAGGGCGGAGGTTCGTGCTCAGATAGATGCTCTCATGCCTAATGAAGATGGTGGTTTCGTGGGATATGGTGAGCAACATATGTGGACTCATAAGTCCAGCTTGACGAGGCTCCCCTATTTCGATGACCTCCTACTGCCCCATAACATTGATGTCATGCACACTGAAAAGAATATCATCGAGGCACTTTGGGCAACGCTCATGGACACTGACAAGTCTAAGGACAACCCTAAGGCTAGAGTGGACCTGACGACATTGTGCGATAGGCCAAACCTAGAGATGCGGCCTCCTGCAACAGGAAAGCAGTGGAGAAGGCCTAGGGCCCCCTATGTCTTGAAAATCAATCAAAGGAGGGAAGTACTTCGATGGATCAAGAATTTAATGTACCCTGATGGGTATGCAGCGAATCTGAGCAGGGGAGTGAACTTAGAGAGACCCTGGCGGAGGACGAGGGGACTCAGCAGACGGAGGACAGTTCTGCTTAGTCGGCTCCCTACCTACGAGGTCCCACAAGCCTTCCTCCGGTTCCGCTTCCTGACCGATGCCCACTGGTTCGTCCTATGGGAAGAAGGTAAGTAACTATAGATGTTATCACTAGTACTTCATATGATACGTTGAAAATCAAAAGAGAAACTGATAATTTTTCGTAATCACTTATGCAGGGGCTGGCTAGTTCTGTCGGGTGCTCTTGACCCCCCACGCACCCCCGCTACCGTCTTGGGATGTCTATGCAGGAAACACTTCCCCGGCCTTGTGGACTTGAAAGAGGGGAGGTGGGAGCCGGCCTGGTCGTGGGACAGGTACAAGCTCGGCTCGGATGACGAGCAGGACAACAAGCAGGAGCGGGTTTTGGCGGACTTTTGGGTAAGTGTCTCACAACATAGCTCAATACATCTCCTCCATTGCTTAAGTCTTTTATTGAAATAATGAACGGATACATCGTGTTTGTATGCAGAGGTACTTCAAGGCCAAAGAAGGTAGAGAGACCCTGGCGGATCAGACGGCACACAGAGCCTGTAAGAAGTATGTCAGCGACATGATTCACGAGGCGCGACTCCAGGTCCATGTCGACTACTACAGGTCCATCAAGAAAGAGCCCCTCAACAAAACCGGTGCAAGAAAGGTGGCGCTGACCAAGGAGCAAGACCTCTGTGTAGGTGAATAATATTGATTCATTTTGAGATTTAGTAGGTCCGAATTGATCTTCTTATATGTCAAACACTTGATGATGTGTAGGTGCCGACCTCGTGGTGCATGTCGCATAGATCGGCATGGTCGAGGATCGTGGGATGTGTACCTTGACCCCGCGTGCACATCATAAAAGCATGAGCAAGGCAAGCGGAAGCGGCACCGAGGACCGCTCCAACTCACCACCAAGGCAGCAGAACCTCCCGCATTCAAGCGGGCACTTGTATGAGATGTCATTTATCTATTCTAATGCTTAATTTTGCCTGATTTCTAATCATCTTGCCGTCTTTCTCACAGGAGGTGGCACACCAGACGTGCCGGTGTCGGAGTTTGGGGCATGGGCTGTATCCCACATGGGCCCGGTGAAATCCGGTGTCGTCTTCAACCCGGATGCCCCTACCTAGGTTTACTCTGACCCGAGCGTCCACGCTAAGGTCAGAGACTACACGGAGGAGGTTAGGGAGGCGCTCGTGGCTCGGGATCACTGTCGAGCATCGAGCCCCCTTGAGACAGAGGTGATCGTGAGGCTAGGGCAAGGCAGAAGCACGGGCGGTTGTGGATTGCAGACGGCGCTGACTCCTCGACCTCTGCGCCCTCTCTCTCCAACGTGAGGGCACGGAGCACGGCCAGAAGCCTTCCCATACGTGAACGGCCTACTCCAACACTATCGCGGGGCGACGAACTTCAGGTAATTCCGGTTTCACTCGTCGTACATTGAACGTTACACACATTGATCAGATTTGCAATACTAAAACATGTGATTGAAACACTGCAGGCCGAGCTAGCAGAGACAAGGGAGACGCAAGCGCACCTGACCGCAGAGCTGGAGGCCATGAAGAGGCAGATGGCGGACATGTATCAGATCATGCAAACCATTGGGCAAGCATCGGGTGTCAAGTGCAGTTGCCAGCTCCAGCTCCGGTTCGACACTTCACTCCTGTGAGTGTGAAAGTTTAATGCATTCGTGCCGTTGGGATTGTCGGCCTTCGTGCTGTTGGGATTGTCGGCCTTCGTGCCATTGTTTCTTGCAGGTTGGAAACCTCCCCGTGCAGGGGAGGTGCTGCCAAAATTTTCAATTTTGAGTCTAACACATGCAATCTCTTCTCTTTTGTGCAGCCTCCGTCGGTGGGTTCAAACAATCCCGCTAGTGTGTCACCGACGGCTGATCACGTCAACCCTTCGCCGCAGTCCGGTCCTTCACCGCTGTCCAGGGGGCCACACCTGTAGTCTCCGTCGCCGCAGTAGGGACGTTGAACTTTGTGATGTTGAACTTGTAATAATAAACTTGAGACGTTGAACTTTGGTGCATTTGTGATGGATTTATTAAATATGCGTGTGCTTGTGATATATAATGCATGTTGGCGATATAGATGTGATAATTGATGTATATATATATATGTCTATAGCAATGGAATGTAAAAAAAATTGCAATTCTCGGGGTCTTTGCCGAGTGCCATGGGCAAGACACTCGGCAAAGATTTTTCAAAAAAAAATTCTTTGCCGAGTGCCTCGCCGCGGCACTCGGCAAAGTATTTTTTAAAAAAAATCCAGAAATTCTTTGCCAAGTGCCTAAACAGGGACACTCGGCAAAGAAATTATTTAAAAAAAATAAAAAAAAACTTTGCCGAGTGCCTGGGCAGGGGCACTCGGCAAAGTAATTTTAAAAAAATAAAAAAACTTTGCCGAAAGTGGTGAAAGGGGCACTCGGCAAAATATTCCAAAAAAAAAAAAAAACTTTGTCGAGTGCCTGGGCTGGGGCACTCGGCAAAGTAATTTTTTTAAAAAAAAAATTGCCGAGTGCTGGTTTGGGCACTCGGCAAAATAACCGTTAACGGCCGGCGCGCAACGGCCGAAATTTTTTTGCCAAGTGCCACCCCAAGCACTCGGCAAAATTGTTTTTTATTTTGCCGAGTGCCCCGATAAAAAGCACTCGGCAAAGACCCTTTGCCGAGAAAAATTTTGCCGAGCAGACTTTGCCGAGTGTAAAAACACTCGGCAAAGCCGCGGCCTCCAGTAGTGATGCAAGCCATCCACATCACATCCACTAGGTGTAATTACCATTTCCAATATATAAGAAATATACAAGGCATGCATGTTATTTGTTTGTGATTCCATCATCTTATAATTTGATCTAATTCTTAGTTTTTTAATGAATTCTTTCATTGACAACTCAATTTTGATAAGAATAAATGCAACATATAGGTCAAACCCATATATACATGCAACGAATTTTAAGAAAGTCCCGCAGCAACATGCGGGGTATGCTTTTTAATCTGTGTTTTGCATCACAAGTAGAAAATGATTTCCCATCAAATGAAATGGAAATGCATGTTTCGTTTCCTTTGTTCCTATTACAGGAACAACATGAACAGACAAAAATATGAAAAGATAAATATCTTTCTGCTCAATTCAATATCTCAAGATTACATTAATTAGTGAGAATAAACTTGAAACATTTAGTCTATAGCATGGAAATATGACCCATACCAATTTTATTGCATCTATTTTCAAGAACTACATTAGACACAATATATGAGTAAAAGAAGAGCAATGCCATGACATGATAAGGGACATATAAAGGTTCATGCATCTGTCCATGCTGATGTGCTTTTGAAATTAAAGAAAGTCAGGTCTTGCATTTACACTGGAGTTTAGGCCCTAGTACTGCAAAACGTGTAAAGGCTAGTAGGATAGTCTTTTGTCTAGATATGCATGCTATAACAAATTAAAGGCATATAAATCTCACTGAAATAGTGAAGCAAAAATGGGGTGAAAATAGAGTCGTGTTGTCGGCATAAAACGATAAGCAAATAGAGCACGAGAGGTATGCCCAAGGTTACTTTAATCTAATCATGCCATAGACTATGTAGCAGTATCAAGCTAGTACAGAAATCTTACTTCTTCTATGCTTGTTGTTTGGCACGCTATCATGGCTTCTTGCGAACTACAAGGCCTTCTGCAGTGAACTTTCTTCTGCTGCTGCTGATCCTGTTAGCTCAAGTTGAAATATATGTCATATACTATATTATTACAAAGAAAATGGACTGCATCAGTAAATGACCAACATGCAGAAATAATATAACAAGACATTTCCTTTTGAGTATATATATGAAGAATTAGCAGATGATCTCTACCGCATCTTTGTGCAATAGTAGTATTTTCAGCAAAATGGTCCATAATAGACTGAACAGCACCTCTTGTTTGTCACCATTGTTCAGGAGGGCTGAGTGATGTTGCACTGCAGGTGATACTTTGGTTGATTCTGTGTTCAAGAGTGTGCTTTCAAAAAAAGACATGGTGTGCACTGCTGGTTTCACGAGCACTGATCGGACTTTATGTTGTGATGGTATGTGGTGGGTTTCATCATGCAGCTGTCCTTGATCACCTGCTAATGGGTCGCCTACACCAACCTGCATCAAAACATGAATGGTATGGATAAGATTATTGTACATTTGCTTGAAAAACTCTTCGTCGTGTGCATAAAGGAATAGAGAGTTGCTGACACATTAACTAGTTGAATTGGATAAAAGGAGATCATTGGTATCATCATTGCTTTTGTGGTGGGCGGATGCAATTTTATCCAGAAGTTTGCCTTAGTGTTTTGCATTGTTCTTCGCTTGCTTTATTGTGTGTTTATTCACTCTCTTCAAAGTTGAACATACACCAATTACCTGTTGATTGTTCTCCATGTAACATTTTAACTATTAAAACATATTGTATTTATTTTTTATAAAAAAGAAAGGTGAAAAGACACTTGTGTGATGAAAGGAAAGGGTTATTTCATGATTACCTATAGATATATACTGTACGAGAATGGACTAGCAGCTTGCAAGTTGCAAGCTTGCATAATTAGAAGACCAAGTGTCGGATACTGGCATATTCAAATGCATTCCAAACTAACTAATATTTTGCTAATTTTGTTCAATATAATGCAAATAGCCTAAAACTCCTGATTCTTATCCAGAATGAAGGGAACAACTAGTAACAAATTACCTCACGGGACATCTTGGCAGAAGTAAATCTGCTGTGGCCATCAGCCTGCCTCTGCTGTTGGTGCTGCTGCAGTTGCATGGTGTCCGCAGCTTCAGCGGCTTCCGCACCACACCCAGGGAGCATATCTTTCATGGCCTCTGAGGTCACTTCTACCTTTTCATCATCGTTCTGTTCCATCATTGTCACGGTAGAACGCAGCTGCGTCTGCTGGTAGAAGACCTTAGACACGACCAGCTCCCCGTCCTTCTCCTCATCCCTGCCGAGGTGGTATTGGTGCATCACCCAGTTGGTCTTCTCCGGCTTGTTCCCTTGCTTTCCATAGTTACTGTACAGCACCAGGATCTTCTTGCACCCCTTCTGCCGACCAGCAACGATTACTGGACGTGTCTTGCCGGTCTTATGCCACTGCGCCTCGCCAACATCGTCACCGCGTTTTGACTGGATCTTTCTCCTCTTCCTTGTGCCAGAGGTGTAGGCTTTGGATGGCCTGTGGAAGAAGTGCTTGATGACGCCATCTCTTGTCACACCTAGTGATAATCAATTAACTTGGTATAAGCACAAGAGTTTGTGCAGTCATGGCATATATACAAGTAACAAGTTGAGATGCGTATCAGTTAAATTGTTTTGTCTCATACTAATATGTAAGGTCTGGTGATTAGTGTCAATTATGGCTACACGTGCATGTTTATTAACATATTTAACCACTATATATAGCAAATTAAGTGTAGAAAATTAACCCCAGCGGGAGAAACAAAAGGTAGCCTACCGCTATAGCTATCTATATTTTGGAAACTTCCGAAGCATCTTCCCATCATGAGGGAGACGTGAACAAAGTGTGTGTTCAGCACCAATTTTGCATAGATGAAGAATGTATTTGCAAACATCCCATGGACATGTGGAGGTAGATAATACCAAATCCGTTAAAAGATGGTAGATGAGCACACCAAGTTCAAGTGATCAACAAGAGTATATGGCCACAATATAGATCTAGATGTTAAATAATCTACTGCTTCCTTGTGTGAACACACGGTAGGGGAAGGCGGCACCGAAAAGGCTCCCTGCTGTGGTACTGTAGCCGCTGCAGGGGCAGGCGCTGAATGGCTCACCTGTCTCACTATAGCCGCAGCAGGGGCAGACGCCAGAGTCAGCCCTGCTGTGTTATCTAGTCACTGTTGCAGCATGGCAGTTGTACTAGAACTAGATAGATAGAGTTGAATAAATAGTTTGCCACTGCAACTCGGTAAAGAGAGCGAGTTCAGATTTACCATCTCCTATACAGAGCTCCAGCCAACGCTGGTGTCTCTGCTGTGTGTGAATGCTCTATTCTCCCTCTCTTCTTCTACCTCTAGCCATAGTGTCTGGTCGGCAACGACAGTTCATAGTCGGCATCGCTAGTGTGTGCTCAGCAACACTAGTGAGTGGTCGGATATTTTCCTACTGGAGATCGAGGGGCTAACACTAGATTCAGATTGATGTCAACAGAAAATCTTTGTGAAATAGAACTCAACTACAACAAAAACTAGATGAATTCAAAAAACAGATCTAATCTAGGAGGAACTAGGCGGTCTTTTATTAGGTAAAGCCATTACGTTGCACGCAGGATGGGGATCACCACGCACGCACATGGGCCTAGCTCGGCCTTCAGAGCATAGCGCATGACTAGGCTTTATCCTCACTCACACGGCCACCGTCTTCCAAGGACCTCTGCCTTCCTCTCCTATCTCTTTCTCTCCCTCAATACATGGCTGCCATAGGCCCTCTTCTGACAAATCGGGCAGATCCAGCGACGCTGAACCTTGTTCAACAAGTTGAGTGGATCTCTGGCGACCCCGACTAGGTTAGTGTTTAAGGTTTATGGGTTTCGAGTTTGGAGTTGGGGATTTCTTTGTTTTTCGGCTATAAAGGAAAGATTGGGGAGGCCGATTGACTGGCAGTGGTGACAGTGGGAGAGGGGAGGTAGGGGTGCCGCACATCGGGTGGTGGGAGAGGCCGGTTGGGCCAATGCTAGCGGCGGGGTTGTTAGCTTGAGAGGGAGGAGATGGATACTATGATTAGGGTGCGGTTGTGAGTGGCAGAGGAGGTGATATTTCATCGCCAGAGCCAGGCGGGAGGAGGCATTTTGTCGTCAGAGCCAGGGGGAGGCCGGGGCGCTCAGTGGAGAAGTGTGCGTGCGGTATGCTAATAGCACGGTCATGCATGCGTTAACTGTGTCCTTTTTATTAAGAACAGAATAGGCACATAAATTCAAGCCAAGAGAGGACCTAAGTGATTAGATGTTTTACCACACCACTCACCGAACTAGATGAGCTAGGCTCACTTTCTAAAATTAAATGAATTCTGTCAGATCATACTTCTAAATAAGTAGTAGCTGATAAAACATACATGCATGATGGTGGCAGTGCGTGTATATTGAGGGCTAGGCTGAAGGGGAGTATAATCTCACACCTGGGAGATTCTCAGGATGGGTGTAGCAAATGCCGTCGTTTCCTTGAAGTGTGGGTATGAAATCACCAATGAGGGGGTGTGCTCTGGAGCCTCCTTCCTTCACCATGGATTCCAGGTGCTCTATGAGCTCCTGGTCCGACGGATCAAACTTGACCCCGGCTGGAAACCCAACCATGTCCTGCAATAGCAGCATTTGAATGCATATGCGTATGTATGAGAATTTAGGGAAAACAAAAGGATCATTGTTACTGCAAACTAGTAATTTAGCATACCGGATTGCAGTCGAGCTCATGGTCGCAGCTAGGGCAGCGCCGTGAAGCTGGTGTCGAGCGTCGTTGGTCCTTAAGCTTCTCGTCGCTGAGGTCGGAGGTGCTGTTGCTGCTGCTCATGGCGTTTGAGTGCCCCCTATTCATGTTGGATTCACGCATTTATGCACAGTAGATTGTAAAATTTAAAAAAACAGAAGAAGAGCTGCATGTTGTATTAAAATGAAAGAAGCTAGGAAGATGCCTTTTAGAAAGATGCTGGCCTAGTCCGCAAGGACTATAATCCCTAGCCCTGACCGTCAGAGAAAAACAATTGTCAAAAACGTTGGATTAACCTAGATAAGTGTTCTGCTCCCGTCCTAGACCAAAGCGAAGCCTTATCTTTGATCTTCTGCAAAATTTGATGATTTGATGCCTTTTGCACTAGAAAATCCCTGCATTTCTTTCTTTCCAAACTTCCCAGCAAACTAAGATTATAATGTAAAGTAATCTGCTGCTCTCCCCAGTCTAAATGCGCGGCAGGGGCAGGCGCCGAAAGGGCTCCCTGTTGCTGCATTGTAGCCGCGGCAGGGACAGGCGCCGAAAGGCTCTCCTGCCGCACTGTAGCCACAGCAGGGGCAGGCGCCAAAGTCAGCCCTGCTGTCACATCTAGTCACTATAGCAGCATGGCAGCCTAGCATGTCTGTGTATTAGGATTAGATGGGTAGAGTTGTATTTATAGCTTTTCATCGTAACTCAGTAAAGTGAGCGAGTTCAGTTTTGTCATCTCCTCTGCAGAGCTCCGGCTAACGCTGGTGCTTATGCTGTGTGTGTGCGCGCTCTGTTCTCTCTCCCTTCTTGTACCTCTAGCCATAGTGTGTGGTCGGCAACGCCGGTAAGCGGTCGGCTCATCCGTGTGGAAGATCAGGGGCCAACAAGTGGTATTAAAGTCGTACAAGCGTCGTCGCCGGACTAACCGCTGGCAATGACGGACGGTTTGGAGATGGGCGACAATCAGCGGCGCTGCTGTGACTGCCCAGCTACAACAGGAGGTCAGCGGCACCAGTTGGCCAACGCTGACTCGCACCAACTATGACGAGTGGGCGGTGACTATGAAGGTCAAGCTCAGAGCCGCAAAGCTCTGAATGCCATTGATAAGGGCACCGACAACGAAGAAGATGACATGTCAGCGTTGGAGGCTATTCTCGCTGCTGTGCCAGCGGAGTACAGGGAGCCGTTGGGGGCAAAGAACTCTGCTAAGGAGGCGTGGGAGGCCATTGCAGCGATGCGCGTCGGCTCCGACTGCGCAAAGAAGGCACCGGCCCAGCTGCTGAAGTAGCAGTACGCCAACCTGAAGTTCAAGGATGGTGAATTGGTGGAGGACTTCTCCCTCCGCCTGCAGGTCTCATCAGCAAGCTGAGGAGCCACAGCGTCACCATCGATGAAGATGAGGCGGTCTCCAAGTACCTCCACTCCGTGTCGGTAAAGTACATCCAGATCGCTCTCTCCATAGAGATGATGCTGGACTTGTCCACCCTCACCATTGAGGATATGACAGGCTGTCTGCGGGCGGTGGACGAGCGCATGCAGCAGGCCACAGCAACGACGGACAGCGGCAAGCTGCTGCTGATAGAGGAGGAGTGGGTTGCTCGGATGAAGAAGTCCGGAGAAGCCTCCTCCAGCTGCGGTGGTGATGGCTAGCGCCGCGGCAAGGCTTCTTCGAAGAAGAAGAAGGTCGACCCCAACGCCTGTCGGCACCGCAGGAAGACGGGCCATTAGACAAAGGAGTGCCCAAATCGCCAACAGCAGAAGAAGGTTGAGGCTCATTTAGCGCAGGCTGATGAGGATGATGAGGCCACTCTCCTGATGACGACGTTCTGACGTTGATCGAGTTCGCCTCACCTCCAAGCGACATCACCGAGTTCGTGGATGGTTTTCACGACCGTGAGGAGGTGCAGTTCCGCTGGCTGGACGACATCATCGGCGGCACAGGGTCCTCAGGCCTAGCGGGTCGACTGCTCAATGACCCAGAGCTGCTTCTCGTCAGTGCAGAGGAACCACCCACGTTCGCGCTGGCCGAGCGCGATGCCAATTGGCGACGGGCGATGCTGGAGGAGATTAAGGCAATCGAGGAAAACGAGACTTGGGAGCTCGTCGATTCACCTCCAAGATGCCGTCCGATCGGCTTGAAGTGGGTATACAAGGTCAAGCGGGACAAGCGCGGCGCCATTGTCAAGCACAAGGCACGCCTCATCGCCTGAGGCTTTGTCTAGCGCGAGGGCATCGACTTCGAGGAAGTCTTTGCACCGGTAGCGCGCATAGAGTCTATCCGACTGCTGTTAGCTTTGGCAGCAGTGAAGGACTAGCGCGTCCATCACCTGGACGTAAAATTGGCCTTCCTCAACGGTGAGCTGGCGGAGACGGTCTTCATTAGGCAACCTCTGGGTTTCGCCATCAAGGGAGCGGAGCACAGGGTGCTCCGACTGCGCAAGACGCTCTACGGACTGCGGTAGGCCCCGCAAGCGTGGAACACCAAGCTTGTCGCCACGCTGCGCGAGCTTGGGTTCACACGGTGTGTAACCGAGCACACGCTCTACACGTGGCGACGGGGGAAGGAGGAGCTCGTTGTCGGCGTGTGTGTGGATGACTTGATTGTCACCGACGCGCGTGTAGAGGACATTGATAGCTTTAAGTGTGAGATGGTGGCTCGTTTTCGAATGAGCAATCTCGGCGCGCTCTCCTACTACCTCGGCATCGAGGTGAGATAGGAGAAGGAGGTGCTCATGCTCGGTCAGAGTGTGTACGCCTCGAAGCTGTTGGAGCGGAGCGGCATGGCTGAGTGCATGTTGTGCATGACTTCGATGGAGGAGCTGCTGAAGCTGACGAAAGCCAGTACCGCGGCAAAGGTAGATGCAACACTCTACCGGAGCATCGTCGGCGGTCTGCGCTACCTAGTCCACACGAGGCCGGATATTGCGTTCGTCGTGGGCTAAGTCAGCTGCTTCATGGAGGATCCCCGAGAGGATCATTGGGCTGCGGTGAAGCGGCTGATGTGTTACGTTGAGAGGATGGTGGATCAGGGGATCGTCTTCCCCAAGACCGGCGGAAGTGGACTGTAGCTCACTGTGTTCAGCGATGCAGACATGGCGGGGGACATCGACGGACGGCGGAGCACCTCTGGCATACTCATCTTCCTTGGGTCAACTCCAATCTCATGGTTGTCGCTGAAATAGAAGGTGGTGGCACTATCCACGTGCGAGACAGAGTACGTGGTGGCAGCCACAGCGGCGTGCCAAGCTGTGTAGCTGCGCCGGCTACTGGGCGAGCTGACCGGTGTGGAAGCTCACCCACCAGCACTGATGGTGGACAACCAGCCCGCCATCGCCATCGCCATCGTGAAGAATCTGGTTCTCCACGATCGGAGCAAGCACATCGACATCAAGTTCCATTTCCTCATGGACTGTGTCGATGGAGGGCAGATCGTCATCGAGTTCGTTGAAACTGATCGGCAACTCGCGGACGTCCTCACCAATCCGCTCGACCGTCTTCGGTTCACGGAGCTGAAGAAAATGATCGGTATGGTGGAGGTTCTAGGGTTAGCAGCAGGATTATGGAAAGAATTGTAAAGTAATCTGCTGCTCTCCCCAGTCTGAACGCGCGGCAGGGGTAGGTGCCGAAAGAGCTCTCTGCTGCTGCACTGTAGCCGCGGCAGGGGCAGGCGCGCGAAAGGCTCTCATAGCGCACTGTAGCCACAGTAGGGGCATGCGCCAAAGTCAGCTCTGCTATCACATCTAGTCACTGTAGCAACATGGCAGCATGACATGTCTGTATACTAGAATTAGATGGGTATAGTTGTATTTATAGCTTTCCACTGCAACTCAGTAAAGTGAGCGAGTTCAGTTTTACCATCTTCTCTGCAGAGCTCCAGCCAATGCTGATGCTTGTGCTGTGTGTGTGCGCTCTATTCTTCATCCCTTCTTCTATGTCTAGCCATAATATGTGCTCGGCAACGCCGGCGAGTGGTGGGCTCACCCGTGTGGAAGATCAGAAGCCAACATATAATGTTGGAGTGCGATCACTGTCTTGCGATTGATGGGATGCAGTCGATGCTTTCCCACCAAACTGCCACTGAGTCGACCGCTGACCAAAGCATGTGATCAAAGCTGCGCATTACCCACCCAAATTAACAGACCAATTTCAGACACGCCTAGTGAAGCAGCAGTATTTAAAAGTGGATGCCCAATTCCAGGCTGCAATGGCAAAGGGGGTCAAACACCAACGTTTGGCCATCCATGGGCTTGGAGAGTCTATCAGAAGTTCCTATGCGGTTTTAAATTGCAAGCAACCAGAAGAATTTGTACTTTGGAGGAGCCCAAACTTTCCAAATATTGCAAATATAATAACTAAGCAAAAGAAAGGACTGGTGACGATAAGATTGAAATAAGAATTTACAGGTAGGTGGCTCTGGATTTCCTTCAACTTTAAAACAGGAGACTAAAGAATTTTGGCCTCCTGATTATACAGTTAAACAGTAGTAGCCTCACCAAAGCTAAAATGTCATCAGTGCACTGGGGAAAAGGCGCATATATCATATATATGAACACTACTTGTCATCTGATTTCTATTTTGAACACGCAGATTATTCCAGCCACGGATCACCAGTTTCTCTTACCACTCGTTACCACTGAAAGGAGCCCAGAAATGCGTGAACGGAAGCATTCAAACAGTGGCGACTACTCACTACTGGGCATAGACAACGAGCTAATAAATCGAGAACCCGCAGATAGACAAGGTCGGTGCGGCTGAGATTCAGAGCTACTGCAAACCCAAATCATGCACAACGCCGCCCAGCGGGACATTTACAGCCTATTCTCGCTTGCTCGTAAACGATCGTAAATTTCCAGTCAGGAACAGTATTTTTCTCTCACACTAAATCAACCGGCAGTAAATAATCCACGATACGATACGGCCTCCCGAACCGCTGTTAGATCGTAGATCTGACAAGCGCAGTAAGGAAAACCGAGAAACGCACGAGATCGAGAGAGAAAACGCGAAAAAATGGAAAAGGAGCTCACAAGGTGTCGGCGGCGGTGGTCCGTGGTCGCGATGCAGCTCGGATCGCTGCGGTTGCCGGCCGGAGGGGG